ATCCAGAAGAAACCTCCCGGCTGGCTCTGAGCACATTGTGACCAGACGGGCTATTAGGCGCGAAATAAAGCAGATCCTGCTTGCTGACAAGGTAACCTGGTGGACCAGTAGGGCTCTAGAAATGGAGGATGCAGGAGCAGTAGGCAATTACTACAAGCTCTTCCAGTTGATCCGCACCACTGGTCCCAGGAAACCAGGGGGTCAGTGAGAAAATCAGAGACATCGCGGGTGCACTGATACACAATAAGGAGCGCCGTATGGCTCGTTGGGCGGAACACATCCAAGATCACTTGAGTTGACCTCCTGTTCCAGGACCTCTTCCTACTCAGGTGATGCTGGACGAGCCGTGGACGGTTAGTTTAGAGCCTCTGTCGTAGGCCGAGGTCCGAAAGGCGATCGCACCCCTCAATGGTTTTCGTGCCGCGGGCCCGGATTCCCTCCTACACCTACACTATTTAAAGAGGTAGGTGAGGTCCTTTGCGAGGCACTGACCACCCTATTCGAACATATCTGGAGCGAAGCGATTATAGTGGTAATATACAAGAAGAGCAGTCGCACCGACTGTGCTACTCACAGGGGTATCAGCCTAACGCCAGTTGTGACAAAATTACTGGTCTCGATTCTCGTTCATCGCCTCACTGTGGTACGGTAATTTCGGATTAGGGAAGAGCAAGCAGGTTTCCACCCTGGACGTGACTGTATAGACCAAATAATAACCTTGCGGCAAGTGCTAGAGCAGCACCACGCATGCCGCAGACCGACAATAGCTGTGTTCCTCGCTTTCAAGAGTGCGTTTGATTCAGTCGATCGATGCATTCTATTGGAAATACTTGCGCGGAGAGGTGTTTCCACGAAGCATGTGAACATCTTACGTGCTCTATACTCGAACACTAGAGGCCGCGTCATGGTCTACGGTAACCTGTCGGATAGCTTTCCGACCACATGTGGCGTTCGTCAAGGTTGTCCGATTTCCCAGTTTTTGTTCAGTTTTGTGGTACGCTCTACCATTGAGTAATCCCTTGTGGAATATCGGGGTGTAGGCGTTGAGTTCCTGGGTGGTGTAAAGTTAGTTGATCTTGATTATGCGCACGATACCGTCTTGCTTTTCGACGATGATGCGGCGGCCCTGTCAACTCTAGACTGCTTCCATTGTGTGGTGTGCGTTTCGCACCTTCAGAGTGCCTCGTGTTGCTGCAGGACCGCCACCCACTTTATGACCTCTTGATCCTTGCTGTCGAGGAACTCGAGGTGGTTGATCGATTCACCTACCGTGTCATCTGCATCAGCAGCGATGGGTTCATTGAAACTAAAGTCACTTGATGCATTGCAAAAGCCAGCAATGCCTTCTTGAACCTGCGGCATCTTTGGCGACAGAAGGGGGTTTTCCTCCGGCTGAAAGGCCGTGTATACAAGGCCACAGTGAGGGCCGTTCTGATCTATGAGAGTGAGATTTGGCCCTTTTTGTCTGCGTATCTGAGGTGCCTTCAAATCGTTGATCATTGCTGCTTGCGAAGCATTGCTTGTGTCGGATGGCACCAGCATATCCGCAACGATGATGTGCGTAGGTGAGTACTGGGTGGTGATAATCATGCTAACTCCCTAGAACAACAGATAGCACTGAATAAGTTGCGTTGGCTCGGGCACATGCTACGTATGCCTGGTCACCGCTTACCTAGTAGGGCCCTGTTTAGTCTGCCAGGTGTAGGGTGGCGCAAGTCTCGAGGTGGACAGAAGTTGATTTAGCAGCGGGAAATGAAGTCACTGACGACCAAACTAGGTGCTGTTTGTCCGTCTCGCCTTCCGGGCTGGAGTCCACGTGACCCACCTTGTGCTTGAAATCGAGACTACAGGACATAGCACGCAACAGACACTAGTGGCGCGTCTGCTGTCGTCTCCTAGTCAGATTGCCTGTTAAAAGTGTGTTTGGTGCTGAGTTATCTGCGGGGTAATGGCTGATAATGACGCGTGGCAGTGAAAGCCGCAAGGAAGCTGTCTCGCCGATACCGCCTTTTCATAGCACGATGGTCGGCTGTTTATGACGGTATGTTGTCTCTACAAGGTGTAGGCGTCTTGACCCTGAATGTTTGCTTATAGCATTAGTGTTTTCAGGTAAATCCCTCTTCTTTCTTATTATTCCCCATTCCGTAGGTCCTCATGGTTGTATGACAGCGAAGCATCAGTTCAAATGGCTGATGTACTGCTCTCGTTGCTTGATTGATTAAGGATTTTCTAACATCGATAATAACTTCTCAGAATCCATGGCATTCACGAGTTGGGTTGTCCAAGGTTGCGCACTGGGTGCCATCCTTTTTCTTGATGCCATCAATGACATAGTTGAAAAAATCAATCATTGAATTGTATTTTTCTATGGTGATGACATAACCATTTAGCAGGAGTGATCCGCGCAAATCTGTTCAAAGTATTCAGAATGATCCTTCATCCGTGAAATCCTGGTGTCGTTCGTGGAAAGTGGAGCTGGCTCCAGACAAACACCAAATCCTTTTTTGTGGATGCCACATTCCATCTGTAGGACTCCTACTTCATAATGAACAGCTCACGCAACTCACTTTAATTCTGGCCCCGTGTGTGCGACATTCGCTAACGTTTGACTTTTCTGAGCAACGCAATTTTTGGGCAACAAAAGCCAAACGAACGATCAGCTTCATCTGCAGTCCATTCAGGTTCCGTGCATTTATACTTAAGCTAAATATGACATGCTTTTTATCTACATTGGAATATTACTCATTTGTATGTACTGATATGCGAAGTGTGATACAATAGCTTTTAAGTAGGTGCAGAGGCGCTGCACGAAGCACTTCGTTTTGGTACGTAACTACTATGACTTAGCATGAGGGATGTCAAATACGTGGTCTTGATTCTTTAAGGTTGTGGATGCTGATAACAACTTCTGCTATCTAGATCGAGTCATCAATCATTCTGTGCGTGTTGGCTTCCGCAGCATTCACATAGATAGATCAGAAACAGTAAAGAAACGTCCTGTGCCTAGGTGTCACACAAGGTATACATTCTTCCTGATGGCTTTTTCCAATATATTGAACAAACTGCCAGTAAACATGAGGCAGAGTAACCCACTTATGTTGCTTAAGAGAGAAATACAGGGTTGCCTTACTGTGAATACTATACTAAATATGATGAGTTCAACGGCGGGAATTAGTGGAGTAATTGAAAGCGGTGAAGTTAACACGGCAAAATCACTTCCAGTCATTTAATTTTCTTCTTTTACTCGGCCATGCCCACCATGCGACCTCCATGCTCAAATGGAATATGAAAACGGGACACATACCGAGCTCATACTTTCATTCTTGGTCCTTCTCTTCTATGCTTTTTTAGTCATGCCCACCTACTGGCTCTCGCGTCTACATAGGAGCCAAAGAGAGGAATCAACTGACCCCATATCTCCACTCTTCCTATTCCTGTTACTTGCAAACTTTACCACGCCACGATATATGGAAATTGAAAATACCAAATCCGTCTCGAAATCTTTATTTTGCCACAGAATGCCGATTAAGAAAAAGCGAACAGAGCCTCTCTTTAATTGACCCTGCCTCCTACTGTTTATTAGTCAACTGTATCTTATAAGAATTAGTATATGCATAAACCATCGTTCATAGGTTCATCTTCTCCCCTATACTTGACATCCTCCCCACCTCCCATGTGTCCATTAGAGATCTTTTCTTCCAGTAAAGTGGTAACGTATGCTTCTTGAGCAACGCTTGATGCAGTGGTTAAAGGTTCATTGTTGCAGTACCCTCCGTGCGTCTGGATTGCGGCACGCAATCTCAGTTGAGGCTACAGTTTTCTCTGGAGCAAACATTAACCATTTCGATCACTGCAACCGCACCTAAAGTGGAGAGTTTTTAATTTTCTCTCTCCCAGCACTGCACTCCGCGACCGACCGCTTTCCCCTTTATTTGGACTCTTCGCGTGAAAGATAACCTGAGTTGAGCTGAGTTCTCAGTGATCGAGACGGTGGTGGTTTGCTTCAAATAAATCGTAGCAACAATTGAGATTGCGTATCGCGATCCAGATACAACAAGTACTCTAAGACTTGACATTGGTAACGTATGCAATTCTTGTAGTCAAACTGCTGTCCTTCCATCGAGGTGAAGACCCAGTCATGCCGATATTGGTCCCCGAAATCCCAAGCGCTAACTGAATCAATGTTGGACCTTTTTATTATGTTCTTGCTCACCTTTCGATGCGGACGTATTGATATACCGACTATAGAAAGCTTTTTTATTGCCGGTTAACCATCATCCTTTCTTGCACAGAATGCACCACGGATGCATTCTTCGAACGCAATAAACGCAACATAAGCGTTTGAAAATCCCGCAGAAATCGGTTGCGCTTAAGAAAGAAAACAAGTCATAGCATCCTGAGGAAGTCCAAGCACACATCCGTACTTTAATTCTTTTGATGATACTGCCCCTACTTCTTATTTATTCTTATGAGACAGCATGGAACATCTGCAATACTTTGGATCGCAATCTACTTGCAATCAGTTTCTCACAAAGGCGGAATTTAAATTATTTATTTGTGTACTATTTTTCCGAGCTGCTTCTGTGGCCTTCCTAATCACGATACGATGAATATGAATTCCGACGAAAGATGTCGCCTATATGTCGTTGCATTGCTTCCCAAGCGCAGACATCCTGGTTACCAGCGCATTTTTAGTCTCGTCGGCGCCTTATATTCTATCCTTCGACTATTGCTCTTTGTTCTGGCCTGGCGTTACGACGCATTGGACCGGCAAGTTGGGTGTCACGGATGCAGTAGTCCAACTCGTCCACTGAAGTGCGTTTCACGCGTTTTCAGCTTGCTTTTCATTTTTCCTCGTCTTTCTGTTCCTCTTAACCTTTATGGTTGATTACTCTCAGATTACCTTAGCCGTAATTATCGCTGCTCTGCATGTGGCATTTAAATGTGCGCTCATGCTTATCTTCCATAACCTGGATTCCTTTACCGCTCTCTCTCTTCAGTTTGGTTCTTGGCTACCTCGTGGGTTATTTACTGCACACGACCAAGCTCTGCAAAGTCTGCTGAAGGGGAGGGCTTCTGTTAGCATGGAGCACTTAACTTCGGCCGCAGTTCGTTTAACTCATTTTTTCGGCCTCTACCAGCTACCCAAGTAAGTAATCGATTTATCGAAGTAGTATCGTGCTCACTTTCATCGAACTTTGTGCATCGGCTAGACGCACACCTTCTATTTGCCACATGATATCATTGTTGTTGCCAAGTTTACAAAAACTAGAAAGCCGAATATATCGATGAATTGTTTGGATATTCCGGCTGCTCTTCTATCCAATGTCCCTGCTAATTTTCCATCCATTCTGAATGAGCTGAACCTGATGGAATAAAACTTGGCTTTCTGCACCAAGACCGAAACTATTTTTTCATAAACTTCAACCATTACTTGCTCTTACGACCTCTCTAACACAAGATACATCGATACCATTAACAGAACACCCAAAAACCCTCTAGTGCTTTCAGCGGAGATTATCAACATGATTCTTTATTAAAAGAACTCACTGGTCTTTCCCACACCAGATAACATTCCCATAACGGTTACAACATACTTATAGCACGCAGTATGGTAAACACTGTGTAGGTGTTTTAGACCCCGAAAAAGTGTTCAACACCACAGTTCCCTGTGCCCTTTAAATTTACCGATTCTCTGACTAAGAGTGAGTTTGTTAAAACTCATGACTATATCGCGAAAACTACTACCTTCAAACCACTTAAGATCACAACAGACAAAACGCTGCTCCAAAGGGAACTCTGGCGGAGCCGGGCCCAGTTGTCCTCAAATGGAAAACAAATATTCGGCCAACGCTACCTTTACGGCCACCGATATTCCACCATAGATCCGTAACAGTTTGGAAGTAACAAGCAGTTTTCGAAATAAGGTCATTCAAATCATCCTAAATGCAGACGGACTCAGTCTTACTTCCCGTTACCCAGCTGCTAGCCTCAATGATTCGTCGGCCCAGTCACTCAACACAGCAACATATCAAGCTACTCAGACAAATTCCGCACATCCAAACTCCTCGGACTCCCCTAAGCAAAGATGCAAAGGTTCAGTGACAGTGCACGAAGCTATATCATGTGCTTCAAGTGAACATAAGAAACATACAGAGGCTGATGTATTATTCATCGACGTTTCTGCAGTTTGCCTTGCATCATATCCTTTGGGATCCCCGACCCCTGATCTCTCTATTGACCACTCTTACAGCCAGCTAAACAACCAGAAATGTGTGTACACAGCTCCATTCATGTTAGCCCAGTACAAGTCACTCATTAACTTTTTGCTATTAGAAACCGTCAAACTTATTTGGGGACGTAATTTGGTTCCACCTTCGCGCTTTCCATGATCTCAGCTCATACATACAAACTTTTAAGTCCAATGGTGCTTAAGCCTATAGATCCTATCAAAACATAGGTTCAAGTAACTCCCTGCTACCTTCTCTCCATAGCAGTCCCAAAGTACCTGAACCAGTGACTGTGAACCAAGGGTCTACGAATACAGAGGAAACAAACGACCACCTAATGTTGTCGTATCACGGCCACAATTGATATCTTCCTAGCCACAACAATTACTACAAATACAATGACGCTTTCACCTACCCAAGGAATTCTTCTTCAGTAGACATTTCACCAGCTTTATCACGACAGCCACCGCTACCCTATTGATCTGAGTATACGTTCCCACTGAATCACCAAAACAGCATAATTCTACGGTCAACTTCAAACGCACCAAACCATTTTTAAGTCATCCGGCGGCACGCTTCTTGCTGACAAGGAATTCACGACTTCATCAGAGCACCATTGGTCTCATTTTCCAACTTATCTAATTAGTCCAGCGGAATACGTGAATGGCTGATCTCCAGCATTCACACCCACAGACGTGACTTCCTCCTCCAGCTCTAATACCCCACAACTCCACATATTTAAACAAATCATACATTTACCTAACTCATGATCTTCAATGCACGTTAGTTAAGGGTGAGAAACACACCTCAGCTAATGTGCCGCAGTACAAAAAGGTAGGATACAAAAAATTTAAAAGCTGGTCATGTAATATTAAATATTATATTACGCATTTCGTATGAGATCGAGATTGGTAGGGAAATCTAAAACGGAGTTGGATGGACAAAGAAACTCACAACACAAACGCCACTGGGACCGGCTCATTGCCATGTCAGCAAGTGTGTTCAACCACACGTCTTCATTGTCCCTAGGACCCCGGCCAGGCAGTCGGGATGCACCAACCGACGCCAACTTCGAAGTGAGAGTTCTCCTTTCTTTCGACCAAGTCATCGCTTAGACTCTCCTCTTCCAACCGCACCCCCGGCGCGCAAACAATGCACGTCGCGGGAGTCGCTGGGCTGGCATGCGCAACACGTGACCCAACCATCGGAGCCCGGTGCGTGATATAATGGTGCTGAGCGGTTCACTAGCTCTTCCTGCACCAACTACGCGACGCTGAACACGCTCATTGCTCACGCCGTGCTCCCACCAGATATCACCTGAGCTGTGAAGGTAGCGATGTTTGAACGTGACTAGCCTCTTTATGTCTGTCGATCTAATGGGCCAGGTTTCACAACCGTATACGAGGGTTGAACAGACGGCTGCATTAGGCACTCTGCACTTCAGCGGAGTGATGTCGCGTCTGCGCCACAGGTGGCGGAGATTGGCAAAAGCACCTCGAGATGTTGCTATACAGTTCGTAATCTCATTTTCGATCCCACGGGTGCTAATATAGCTGCCCAGGTTGGTGGATTCTTGAACAAATTCAAGCTGTTCCCCACCAAGGGTCATCGCAGGGGTGGGTTCCTGCCAATCTTGGAGAATAACTTTGCATTTCGATGAAGCAGAGTATAGCCGAAAACGATTGACATCCAGTGTTAATCGGTTCAGTGCTGCTTGGCGAAGGTAACAGCGTGCAACCTCGTTTTACACTGTCGGGATACTTAATGGCAGCGACAGTTTGCCATAAACTCTCACTTTGCCCGAACTATGCGCGTACAGCGCTTTGATAATGTTTACGTCTTTATCTGGCATACCTTTCCTCATCAGACTGTCCCAAAGAGCACATCGATCCACCGAATCGAAGGCCCCTTAGATGGCGAGAAACATGACTACGGTGGGTCGCCAATAAACATGGCGAAGCTCCAACAATTGACACATAGTGAATATGTGGTCGATGCAGCCGCAATATCGAGGAAACCCGATTTTCTGTCCACTGATCTGGCTTTCCTGAGCGCCAGTCAGTCTGTATACTACTCCAGACGCAAGCAATTTAGAGGCGATTGAGATCAGACTGATCCTTCTATGATTGCCGCATTCCGAACGGAGGCCTCCCTTGAAAATTGGGACTATGTCGGAGCGGCTACAGTCCGTGGGGACAGTTTCCTGTTCCCAAAGTTCCACTGACAAATCATGTGAATCATCTACAAGAGCAGGTCCGTTGATTTTGAAAAGGGTTTAACGGTGTTTACAAATGGCAGAGACGTAATCAGTGCAATCCTATAACTTGTACTTACCATGAATTTCTCGTTCACGGGGTACGGTTGCAATCTGCGATCCATGTCTCAGCGGTGATGATTCGGTTTACCTAACCGTCTCAGTCCAGGTTTCCAAACTCCCTGAAACCGTCATTGTAGCGCACCTGCGGCCCCGGATATCTAAGTGCATCACAGACTAGTTATTGCTCATGTTCGTGCGACTGTCTCCTTGCTTGTCCCTCTAAGAAGTTAACGCCTGCGCAGCAACCGCTGGCAAACGACAGCCTCGAAGGGCAATGAGCGCCGTCACCTACATGCGCACTCAGGACAGGCTTACTATTTAGCAGGCCAAAGTTTTGTTCGTTATCCGAATTAACTAGACAAGTCGCTCCACCAACTGATAACGGCCATGCACCACCAACCCCCGAGACGAGTAAGAGCTTTCGATCTGTTAATTCTCACTTTGTTCGGGCCGGGTTTTTCCCGAAAGTATATCAATGTTTTTTATTAACGCCTGATCTCTTAACCATAAGATGCATGAGTCCCATTATCATGTTTTACGATATAACAGCTACTTAAGCGGTCGCCGCAGTGGCATGGGTGGGGGTTACATTATTTATATTGATGAATATCATCTATTCGCCACCTTTAACCGAACCAAAGTTTGAAAACGTCCCTGACGCACTATTTATCACAGTATTGCTAAATAATTTTAACTTCCTTATCGGATGTGTCTACAATACACCACACTGCGGCATCATCAATATTAGACGATTTACTGAAATATTTGAATACATCTCGGGGTGCGCAGACAAATAAGTTAGTTGGAGATGACTTCAATCTGACAGAAATTAACTGACACACTTACGCTTCACCTCACAGACTACTTAAAGTTGTCTCTAGCATCTGCTCACTAAGTTCGGGTCGGCCTATTTTATCTCCGATAATGAAAGCAACTTCCTTAACCTAATCTTTATCTCGGGCCTCCCAAATGGAAATGTCACTATCTTGTATAGCCTTCCGGGTGGTGATCACAACCTTGTGACATACAACATCAAGCTACCCGTATGAGTAAGGCAGAATCTTGCGGTATATCTTACCGGACATATCGTTTGATTGACCGGGAGGTATTCGCATCACTGCTATGGTCAAATAAATGGGATACGTTCTTTCTTACGCGCGACCCTGAATTAGCAGTCGAAGCATTCTATCGTTATACCAATAAACGTCTAGACATCTTTGCAACTGTAAAGCAGAAGAGGCATCGGAGAAATGCAGCAAACGACATTCCTCCTGCTAGCGCTAAACGGAGAATCAGTAGGTTAGTTTTTGCATGCTTTTATCACACTGTATCAGCTTCAAAACCTATTTAGCAGATTGGAAGCACACCGAGTTTAAAAGTGCATTTCCGAAGAACTCTGAGCTGTCCTAGGTTCCAACAAACAGAAGCACCTTGTCGAGCTACTTAAACATAGAAGCATTACATCGGCCTCAACTGAAGATCCCGCAATTATTTCCGATGTTTTTGCTTAGCACTTCTGTTCATCCTTTAATGACGCCTCGCGCGCAACGTCAACTGTTCCATCACATTTGCGTTCGACCGATATTCTGGGGACTGTAAACTCTGCTCATAGAGAAATAAAGTCCCTCATCTCCCTTAACAGACTTTTTTACGGTGGCCGTGATGGTTTGTCGCCGTCTCTTTTATCACGGTGGTCCTGACATCCCTATCCTGCTGCAAAACATGTTCACTGTGTCAATGAAAGCTAGCTCTGTCCCCACTCATTGGGAGCATGCCAAATTGGTTCCACGTCACTAAAGGGGCCCGGAAAACGACGTGGCAAACTATCGCCCAATTAGCCATACATCCATCCTGCTTAAAGTCAGGGTAAAGGTTATAAAGGAAAAGAAGTGTAAATTACTACTCTCCAAAAAACTCATTAGTTCGGTGCAACATAGCTCCATAAAGCATTGTTATTACCAGTCCTGCCACCTGGAACTATTAAATCACATCACAAAATCTGTCGATGAGCCTAAATCCTATGTTATCATTGCACATGCAGAAGGTCTTTGACCAGGTATCGCATAACAGACTTGGTAACCTTAACATCATCCGGTATAACTGACTCCTTACTCTCTTAGTTCTCATCCTACCTTTATGACATAACTTAAGCGGTCCTGATTGAAAACCACATATCTATCTTACTGCATCCCGGTAGCAAGTGCCGTTATCCAAGGTACTGCTCGTGGTCCTTTTCCATTCCTCGTGTACATAAACTCTGTTCTTGATATATTTACCCAAGGTAGCCTTTACATGTTCGCTGTTGACAATAAACTTGTTTACACCTTCGATCCGGCACACTGGAAAGCTGCACTTTCAAGCGTACCAACTTATCTAGGGGCTCTTGGATTGTGGTGCTCCACCTCGAAAAGGAGCTCCTCAGCTGAATAGAGCAACCTCCATTCATGCCGTTGTGATATTCGATCTAGCCTGCTGACCTTTGTTAAACCCCTACCTGTGACCAGTGACCGAATTACATTATTTCGATAGTCAGAACTTCGCGGAACGTGTACAGTATACCGTCACGAGTGCTAGGAAAAATTACAATCTTCCTCAGACTTCTCGATTTATCAAATGCTAAGCTTGCATTGTCCAAGACATGCGCACGGCCAATGCTAAAGTACTGTTCTTTAGTTTACTGTAACGCACCTCATTGCGATGTATTGGCGCTGGATCACGTGCAACAGACTTTTACAAGACTGTTTCTAGGTTCCACTTGTAAACTTACGTACGCTAAACGCTGAAAATTGACCGGACTTGGCTCCGAATGCTTAATGTTAATCTGCTTCTCCTTTACGGTGTGCAACATCAAAAAGTTCATATACTGAGTCATTCTTTTCCATTGCAACACGCTTCTTAGTAGGAACTGTGAAATAAAAATTTCATCTTGCCAGAATTAAAGTCACGTACAAAAATCCGCGCAATGTTCTTCCTTAATAAATGTGCACCCATCTGGAACTGACTTCCATTGTCCCTAAGGTCTTGCGCGTCCCGGAATGTTTCGTGATCAAATAACCAGATTTCTCACGATAGACAAAGAGGTTGAGCTATTCAGAATAAACTTACTAGGAGGAGAGTCTTACTGGAAAGAGCCAGGAGGTATATAATGTGTACTAAAAACTGATGAACACAGTCAAAACCGCGTCAGATGAACGACTAAAGCATTTCATTAATACTGACACTGGTCACTTAACAAGTCTCTTTTATTCATTTAATCTTAAACGATAAAAATTTTTACGTTTTGGCTACATTCATGTTTTTACCGGTACTGCCCTTACCATACTTCATTTGCAATGCAATTAAATACCATTATCTTTTTTATTTTTGGCATGTAACTCTATCCAAACTAATCGCCTGGAAAGTTGCCAATTGGTTAGAAATTTGTGCAGCCATTTGTGCCTTTTGGCGGAACTCGCTCCAAGTGACATCGCTGAATGTGACAATATTCCAAGCGTGATGAATGTCTCAGCTTGTAGCGAGTTGATTTATCTGTTCTCATCGTTTTTACTTCTCATATTTATATTCTTCCTTCTGTTTGATTGGTTGCGACTGGGCTGGTCTCCGGAGGTGATGGATTGACGCTTCTAGGTTTTTAATTATGCCCATGCAATGCATATTGCCACTGGTTCATTGGTGTCAAAATAATGAAAAAATGTGCCATGCTCGAACTTAGCCGAAAAATTGAACGGGTTGGATGACTTGATCGTCCATAATTTATGCATATAAACAGCCTTAAAGATGTGTAAAATGGGTGCTGGCATACAAGCTATAAGACCACATCGGAGTGCGGCCAGATGAATCATGGTAGATCGGGTGAAACCATTCTATGGAATACACTGCAAAGAAGCTACTTCACAGGATACAGTTCCATGGATGCACGTATTACTTTACTTGAATATTTGACCGCGTCTTTAATTGTTTTTGTTCTCAATTTAGTAATCCTTCTGATGAACTCAGCTACATTTTACTCTAAATTCGTTTGTAAACAGCACTGAAATATGTTCATTCTCCTAGTTTATGCGATCTCGCTGCACTTATTTGATTAGATCACTGAGTTGGACTGTCAAGAAATGTACCATTTATCTATCTATTTGTTTACTATGTTTCCAACTGATTCCTCCTTACTCAGAATTCATGTGCATGTAGCCATCTGGTTTTCATCTTGGTTGCAGACATTAAGGTCGGTTGCGATTCTGTTTGTCCCGGACGACGTTTGGTGCTAAAACTAACGACTCATCGATCCTCTGCATTTACTACGTGTTCCTCACTAACACGAAGATCACATGGCCCCTATAAAAACCTGCTTTTTTGCTTTAGCAGCGCCAACCGACACGTTTATTACTCTCTGTTTTCCGTAACTTCATCTAAGCCCTCACTAATTTGTGGATGATCTCGAGTCCACCGGCAGATTGTCACCTGCTCGGTTATGTAATATTACTCTGGTACTGCAGCAGTTTTGAGGTTGTGCTTTTCTAGGAACTGCCTTGTCGCCTATTCTTCTGGTCTCACGGTTCGGTTTGGTGAATCAGACTGTTCCTCTATAAAACCCAATTATTTCTCTGAGTTACTGTTAGACTACTGAACCAAGGGCCTGAATGCACTGCGACTGAAGGTCGACGCAACCGCGAAATTTGTCAACCCCAAGATTTGATGAGATGGATCAATTTCCTCCACTTATTGTTCACTGTAGTTGGTGAAAAAAGCTGGAACTTCATTACTATGTGATTGTCTGTTCCTCTTGTGTACTGGTAGGTCCATGCCAAAAGGTTTGACTTTCGCCCAGATATTATTAGGGATTGATGATCTCATGATTGTCAGACAGAAATGCCATATCCGCATGATCCGAGCAAGATACCTTACTTCTAACCGGACTTAAGTATCCGCCCCCATAAGGTTTTCAATCCAATCGAATAACATTATAAAAACCTTGGACTGCCGCATTCTACTTCATTTGCTACCGGAAAGATGCTCGACGGCACCTTTTAGGTCCTGACGGCTCGATATTTTGGAGTATAAAGCACGTCCCTGCATCTAAAAGGTACCGTTTCCGGCCTCTAAATTTGCTCAGCATTTGCAGTGTTACTTGAACGAATATACTTTACCTTAAGATTTAGCTGCTTCGCACTGCGTTTTTACAAATTTCTGTCTATGTTAGTCCTTAGTCATTCATACAGAGCACTACCATGCTACCTTGATCTTTATTGTACTCTCACTCCGATCAGGCGACTACGGCCCGCATATTACTTTGACCGATTTGGACTCTTTTTAACTTCCGTGCAGTCAACTCGCTCAGCATACTGGACGTCTTCACTTTATTCTCTTCATTAACCTTGTTAAAATCACATACTTACATCAACTAGCTTCTTATTAGAAAACAATTTTACGTTACATTAGACATCTTTATCATCAATGCATCGCTCCGCATTCCCATTTTTTGCCCCTCTTTTCAAAGGTTTCCGTTGTGTTGGCTTGTGCAGAGGTTCCTGGTCACCCTGGGATTACCTGACGCAACATACAACGTCAGTCGTTTGTTACTGAAACACTTCTCACTCAAACTGCGAAATTCCACCACTCTTATCGCAGGCCCTACTTTGATCCCTTTCATACCGTGGGCCCGTGTGTTACGAGTAGAGATAATCGCTATGGCTGTGGTCGTGATTACTCTTCGCTTGCTGTTCAAATTCAATGACGTGTACGAAGTGAGTCCCCCTTCATTATTCACCACCACCAATACGCCTTGTGTTTCAGGCTGATGTCCGTTTAACCCGCATGGGGCACAAATGCTGTTCAGGTTGCATACTGTCCAGATTGCTTTCTATCCATCCAGACCGCAGTTTGATGCATGCGACTGTGGCCTCTATTGCGTCTTCTCTCTTCACCGAATGTGTAACGACCTCACCTTAAGTCTCATGTGCGTTGGCGTTATGTTCGCAATAGGTGTCAATATTACCTTACCACTCTCTTCGGAGTAATCACGGACTGCGCAGTTTAATATTTTTTGGCTTAGTTGACAGTCAATTTCCCACTCACTGGAGTTTTTCGATGTCAGTGTGCCCACTCTAACTTGATCTTTCTATTAGACTATTGTTTATTATCGGCAGAAACGCAAGTGGTTACCTTATAACAACTGTCGCATATCAAAACCAGCGGCTTGAGCCTGAGCTGAGCAGTTTAATGCAGTCAGGATCTTAGTTTCACCCTTCACCTTGAAAACTTGGAATACAAATTTGTAACATGTCATTTTTAGCTAGTATATAAATGTGAGGCTGAATATGGCCCGACATACTTTTACTTCACAAAATGTTGCCCTCCTTGCGAAAAGTTTGGACACCCTCTATTAAAGGCCTCTCAGCTGATTGTGTTTACCAATGTTGCATTAAAATTTATCGGTTTTAGAGCCTATTCGGATCGCCACTCACCAGTGGCCCAGTCAGGTTGTAATTCAGTCTTCTAGTTAACTTGGTGAAATATTCAACAACAGTGCACCCACTATTTCACTAAATTTCCCAAAGATATTTGCTAATCTTACGCAGCCAAACTCGATCATATATTTTGTTTACGCTGACCACTGAATTTTCTCCATCTTATTTCATTATATGCTCTTTTACTGGTGCATCCATGCTGTTAACTTTAAGCTACCTCTCGGAATTGCATGCGATTTCCTTAAGGTGCCATTTTTCTATTTCATGGGAAACTTAATGCAACCTTTGTCGTCTTGACACTAATCATTCTGCTTGTAATCCTTCGTATTTTCATGCCTCAAGTGCTTCATTAATCATCATGTCCTGATGTGCCATTGGCTCGGTTCCATAACACTTGCAAAGTGGTATATTTGTTTTGTACTGTCACCTTACTATGAAACATATATCATATCAAATTATTGTTGTATCAGTATTTTTGTGTTACCGGTATCATTGTTATGCTTTTATAACTAATCGCTCAATTTTCCTCCTGTAGCTCTCAACTTGTTTAGTTCACGAATTCATGTCATTTTTTATTTCTGCGCTTGGCAGACTTCATCTGCACCAGTGCTGATTGACCAGAATCATAACACGATGACTTCAAATTCTATCGAGAGACCTATGGTTTAGAATCGAGTTACTGTTCATATTGTTTTAGTTTGGAATGTTTGACAGATGTGCTTCTTGTCTATACCAGATTCATCCAAGGATTCGCTCACCTATTCTCTAGATCTGGGTTTCTCAAACATTTTGGCCCGTGGATCCCTTTTTAGTGGAACCTCACGCAGCGGAGGTGGCGTGTTGTTAACCACAATACTGATTTGATGAAATGCGAATGAGATGAAGTGTCTTGTACCCGTTCATTACTGTACATCGATTTAACACGGGTATTTGTAAAAGATAAAAACTGTTGGATTTAGGTACAATAATGCTTAAGGTAAAGGGATGAAATTGTTTCTGACTTGTTTAATGTTTGGTATAATTGAGGAAAGCTGTAACCTCATATCTGGTTCAACTTCAAGTCTGTTACGGTACTTTGTTTTTGCATAGGTGTGATGCGAAAATGCACTTTTACACAGATGTGTTGTGGCAATTGAAAGAAGCGCGGCGACAGCTGTCCGCTATGATAGGGTACTTGTCCTTCGTTTTACACCAGAAATCAGGCAGCGACAATTTGTGAAACTCTTCCTGAAAGGAAGCATCTGATATAATGTCGATGAATTTCTCGTATTGAAGAGATGTGAAAGGAGGCTTTTCGTGCAAGTAAATGGGTTTGTGACCCATGAAAATTGTTTCAGTTTTTCCTCATCTACGCTGGGGAATTACTGAGACAAGGCTTCTACCAGATTTCGTCATACCGATCCTCGGGGATTTCTGTATCCCTCTTCATCTCTACTAGAATGTCTTAACGCCGGTAAGCTGTCAAGATCTTTACTGTGAATGGGAATTGCCAAACATTACACATTTCTTTTGTATCCCAGAATTTTATCATTTACTCTGTGTATAGTCGCAGATTTTCCTTGAACTTCTTGGTTGAAGTCATATATTTTTGCGAAGACCGGACTAGTAGGCGAGTCTTGTCAACCACTTCTTGTCAGTCATCCGGAACTGATAACAAATGGGTGATCTATGAAGAAAGCGAAGCTTTCTGTACGTAATTCTCCCAAACAGTATTATTTTACCACGGTATCAGTAAAGATGTGTGTAGACTTCCCATGTCGTCGCACAGAATCTTGAACAGTTGGTTGTTCATAGGCTGAAATTTATAGAAATTAATTATTTTCACTACCTCATCGAGTACCGTTTTGAGATTGGGTGGCCTATCTCTCACGTCAAGTGCTTGGCTTTGAAGAATACATTGGCTACTTTTGCGGGTTTTTGAACCTTGTCCCAACACCAGCAACACTTACTGTCATTGCTTTGGCATTGTTAGTGCAAATATCGATGCAGTTGTCCCATAGAATATTATTATCGTGCCTACAATTATTCACGATGTTGAACATCTCAGCGCCACCAGCGTTCTTCAATAGAGGTTCACACAAAAGCATATCTTCTTCCAGGGACAGTAGGCGTTGGTATCTTACATGCACAATCAGCACGACAATTCCTGCCACATCTGTCGACTCATCAATTTGAAGAGCGAAATCAGAATAGCATATGTGTAAGGTTGACTTCTTAACAGCAGTTACTAGTGTCTTAATTCTTCAGGACACTCTTATTTCATAGTGATATTACAGACAACTGATTCGTCATCCAGCATGCACCTAGTCATTTCGACTGCACTTATCTGGATAAGTTTCTATGCTATTGTGTGAGGTTTTCCGGTCAGCGCAATACGATAACACAGGGCAACAACAATTTTGATGCATGGAAACGGACAATGTTTCTCATATAATTTGAGCATGCTGAATTCAAATCTGACATCATTTTTTCTGTGTAAGCTATTGCGTTTTTGAAAATCAGTTAAGAATTTCGCTTTTCGTACCTTATACCTACTTTTCCATTCAACGCCTTGCGCAAAAGCATAGGGCTGCAAAGAAATTAGCAGTGGTTATTGTATAATTTGAGCCTGCTAACTTCAAATCTGGCGTTAGTATTTCTCTGTAAACAACATACTTTAGGAAAATCGACTTTTAGGAATTTCTCAACAGACAAATGTTTTCATAATGATTGTATGTGACCCGATGCATCTTACATATATAAATTGATGCAAACATATATCCTGAACGCAACATTTCGATTAGGCATGACATAAGCACAAAACTATATGCATAACAGGCATTAATCGGGCAAAAATTTGCGATTATAGCATTTGCATCGAACTGTTTTTAGGGCAGTCACATTTGATGCACCAACAATAGCCCGCCATCATGTGTTTGTCCCATCGTCTCTGATAACCTTCTTTCATCGTCATCATAACTTGACGAAAACGTTCCCCAGTTCGTCACTTACTGCCCCTAGGTTTACGGAGAATTGATCAAGATGACTGTTTAAGAAATGCAGCTTGACGCTCATGTTGCACCTAAGATCGCGAAATGCCAACAGCATTCTGTTAACCAGTTCCTCATAGTTCTCTGATTTTTTTTGTTTCCAATAAAGTTTTGTATAACCACCACAAATGACTACTACACATTCATCTCCTTGGCATTCATCTTTGAGACAAATTCTCCATCACGCACAAGAGCTCGAATTTGAGGGCCGTCGAATGAACCAGCTTTAGTCTCTAACAATGACACAGACGTAAAAGCATAAACAATGTACTGAAAACAGTCGCCATCGGTATTCAAAACTCTCACAAACTGTTTCATAAAGCAACTTTTCAAATATAAAACCTCCAAGTTTTAGAACCGGAAGCTCGTCAGAGTGTGGAATGGGTCAAATTACAAAGGAAATACTGGGATAAGGGATCTTATGCCGATTTCTTTCCAATACATTCGTATTAACCATCCAAAAAGAGCAATCTGTTATGTGGTTCGTAGGTTCTCGCCAAACCATGGGAACTCCAAATGTCAGGCTTTTGCGTTGTCCTTTTGTCCAGTCACGAAGCATTTCCACAATAATGGCACATAGTCTGTGGTATCCATTTTTGTCTCCAAAAGGGTTTTTCAAAGTTTGCTTTAAAGACACCTTACACAAACGAAATGCTATTTCTCCTTTGAAGAACGACTCTAGCATCCGCATGTGTAGCAAAATGCACCAGGTTCATTTTCACATTTATGTCGACCTGAATGATCTATGGGCATATCTGAAACGAAAGTGGATTGGTCAGTAGTTTTCTATTTATGTAAAATATCGAATTGCTGGAAAACTAAACCATGCAAATAGTGGGATTCCTATTTGAAATCAGCATTAAAGGTTGTGTATAATCACTTTAAAGTTCTTTTGCATCAGAAAGTTGCCAAACTTTTGTTGCCCTGTGTAATTAACTATGTAAGTTGCTTCATTACTAAAGCATTTACAGTCCAAGGCGCGTGAAGCATGTACTTTTGGGTGTTCAACAGTTCATCCCGCCCGCGCTCAAAGTATTAATTTTTCTCCCTTTACAGTCCGCATGCATTTTTAAAAATGTGGCCGCATTTTTACAAACACCATGGGACTGTTCGCAAAACTGTTACACAAAACACTGTGTGGGCAATCGTTGAACTCTGTGAATCCAAAAGAGATAGATGTCATTGTATTTACGCCTTTTACCTACTGGTACAGAGGCTCTGATTAGCACAGATTTACCTTGCATCGCATCAGGTAGTATAGGTACATCGAACATCTCAGTTTCTGCATTCCCAGAGGGTACATTACATGGTCCAACCATTATTACATCTGCATTAGAAGTTGAATATCTCTGCGACACATTTAGCAGCGTTTCAATTTTCAGCCAACGGTCTATGTTAATGTTATCTGTCCCAATACTGAAATGGGAATAAACACTTCAACACAAGAGTCAAAAGCACACCTCGAATTTGATTACTATGATAAGTTGGACCTTGAATTAAGTACAATATAAAGTAAATAAAACAGCCACGTTTTGTCTAGTCACAGAAATAGTTTCTCTCCAATTTCCGCGTGGGCTCGCGCCAATGGGCCTCTCCGGTTTGCCGATTTCGAAGAAAACAACTTCGAAATGACAGCAAGAAAGGGCCATATCTTATTTCTTACTTTACGCCTCCCCCAGGAGGACATATAAAGAAATGGTTTATTCCTCGATGGTGCGAGGCACAGTCCAACTGAGTGGCATGGTCATCCTGTACAAAGAGATCGCATAAAATATTTGATTGTACATGTTTTGTAGGAATCCCAAATGGGATTTTTAAGTGATTGGCAGTTTGGAGGTCTCCGAGTGATTAAGGAATTGGGAACAAAGATGTATATTTAGCCAAAAGCTCACTTAAATTAACAGGGCCAACCATGGAACTTGCGCGGATGTAGAATAACCTATCAAGCCTCTGCTCATCTCTTCACGGAGAGTATACCGTACTACCTTTCTGACATTTGACAGCTTCGTTCACTCACATTTTAAGTCCCTAACAAAATCAGATTCCTTCTTGGAAGGAATGTGTTATACATGGGTTGTGCACAAGGCTAATGTGGACCGTCAGATATGATTTAACAAATTTTCACAGCAGTTTGGTCATCAACATTGCGAATAAAATGATCACGTCCAGAGGATTTTTTAACGGCACTAATATTTCACGAAATTCTGCGGGCTCCATTAAAGTGTGGTTCGCGGACCCCCAAGTGGTCCGCAGACCACACTTTAAGAAACACTACTCTACGTCATCCTGAATCGTTTGACTACCTTGCCTGTTGATCAGACCCCTCAGGTAAGCATACCTTGCCTTGTCGTTACCCCTATCTAATATCGTTTCCACCTAAACCTTTTTCTTACGGGCTGATCAGGTTGATCATCTCGGGTGAAATCGGACCGATAAGCACCTTTAGAAACTGTAGGCGAATCTGAGCTTTATTTAACGCTTACGTATTGGAAAGGGTGAAACGTTGCTCTGATATTAAACCAGTAACTTGTTCGTGTTTTGTAGCCACTTCTCGTATTATCTGTTTTTGCGTATGTTCACTATAATTAGCGTGCCATTTATTCCTTACTCCATTCTATCTGTCAGCATCAACTCAGCAAAGTTCTCCGTCAACTGCTCGTCCCTAATGTGGATCCTGTGGCTAATAGCTGTGCGGTTTTGCCACCCCTATTCGACTGGGTCGCCTGGGCCAGCGACGTTACCAAGCGCTTTCGTACATCGAACTTGCCTGCCAATCAGCCGAGTTCTCTCGCGCCTAAATGCAACACTACTGGGGCTTCTCAACGCTCTGATCTTCCGGCGGTTTATTGGGCGTCAAGTGATGATCTTGATCACTTGGAGGACGTGAGTGATTTCCTGGGCGCCACGGAATTTGAGCCAGGAAAGTCAATCGGGTGGGGCGAGGTCAGTATGCGTCAACGTAGGCATGCTCAAGTAAGCCGCGAACTGGCAGTTTTTTCTTCCACTGTGTACCCCGCTGCCTCAGGTGGTTTGTTTAATGGCTGTTGCAACTTTGTGGCACCGTGCCACGCTAGCGTCCTGGCCTCATGTCGGAGTACGCACTGTCGTAGTTATACCAATACTTATTTTTATACATGCATATCCGTTCTTGTACATTTCCATTTTGTTTCTGAATGAATTGCCATTCCGCACAGTACTTATAAATTAAAAAAATCTTGTTTTCGATAACAGCTGTGGAGGGGTCAGTGCCCATGTCTGTTTCACAATAGTAGTAGTAGTAGATTGTTGAGAAAGTTATTGCGGTTTTCAACTTAGTTCTTAATGAAGACATTAAACGCTTGTCTATGTTTGGCCACTGGTGCTTGCAAAGTGTTGCTTACGTTTGGTGGGAACACCGGGTGAACAATGCCAGTTGGATTTAGGCAAGAAACTTTCTGGTGCCTTGCTCGAGTGTTTGCAGAATCTTAATCGCTTGCGTTGGCTAGGTCATGTCCTCCGTATGTCCGTTGATCGGCTTCCTCGGTGTGCATTATACACCGTGGCTGCACCAAGTTGGGTGAAACAGGGTGGTGGCCAGTTCATGACATTAGGTAGAAGCTTGAAGAAATTGGCTGAGAGACTTGCTCAAGCTAGTGCGTGCCATCTTCCTGGATGTGGGCCTCGGGACGGTCTACACCAATGGTTGGAGACTGTGTCAGACATTGCGCAGTCACGAACTCAGTGACGTTCATGCACTCGGCTTCTTTCATCTGGCTGTTAATTTTCGTTCCATTCTGATTAGTCTAGCGCATTTCTTTCTTGCTTTCCTTTTCTCTACATTATATCTGCACCCAACTTCACTATTCTACCGGTGCTATTTAATGTTATTCTTACGATGGGTGGCAACTGGATCCACCGCACTTCGGTGCTCAGATCATAGTAGATCAACTGCACTGAACCATCTCGATCATACAAAGCTATCAGGATTCCCTTATACCGAACTTTCGCTCTATCGCACTAAGGAAATTGAGCTTCAGTGCTATCTACGATGCGTGCGCATCTGCTTGCGACACCACCAGTCACTGGATATCCGAGAAGTCGATCAATCTGTTGGAATCCAGAAGAAGACTCCCGGCTGGCTCTGAGCACAATGTAACCAGGCGAGAACTAAAGCGGAACCTGCGTGCTGACAAGGAAGCATGGTAGGTCACTAAGGTTCAATCAATGGAGGAGGGGGAACAGTAGACAATTATCGTAAGCTCTACCAACTGATCCGCATCACTGGTACAAGTAACTAGGGCGTCAGCGAGGCAATCAGACTACGCGGGTGATCTTATTCACAATAAGGAGCGAGGTATGGCTCGTTGGATGCATCACTTTCGAGAGCAGTTCAGTTGACCACGTGTTCCCTGAGCACTTTGTACGTAAGTAGCGCAGGGTGAACCATGAACAGTTAGTTTAGAGGTTCCATCGGAGGCTTATGTCGGAAACGCGATCACAGCTCTTAACCGTTTTCGAGCTACTGGCCCGGAGTCCCTTCTGCTCGAATAAGCCTGGAAGTAAGAGGCCATGCCAACTAACTAGAGTGATTCGATTATAGTGGCCATCTACAAAAAGGGCAGTCGCATCGACCGTGTTAACAACAGAGGTATTAGCTTAACGCCATTAGAGACAATATTACTAGCCTCACTTCACGTTCGTCGCCTCACTGCGGAATGGGAATCCCGGATTTCGGAACAGCAAATAAGTTCCATTTCAGGACGTGGCTAAATAGACCATTTATTCACTGTGCGATAACTGCTAGAGCAGTGTCACACATACCGCGAACCGACAGTAGTTCCCGGACATCAAATGAACGTTTAGCTCGGTCGATTGATCCATTCTGTTCGAGATGCTTGTGCGGACAGGTGTTCCCATTAAATATGGGGACATTTTACGTACCATGTACTCGACACCATAGGCCACGTCTTTCAGACAAATAGTGGCATTCGTCAGGGTTCCTCATTTTCGTTCAGCTTCATCGTGGGCTGCATCATGGAGCGTTCCATTGCAGGCGTTGAGGTGCTGCCTGATGAAAAGCTAGTCGATCTTGATTATGCGTTTTCCTAATTAAGGATGTTAGGTGGCACAGTCAGCCCATAATAATAACCGCTCTAAAGTGGTCCCATCATTTGGTATGCGCTTCGCACTTTCAATGTGCAGTGTTGTTTCAGGACCACCAGCCACTTGATGACCCTTGATAGCGAAACACTTACCTTAGTAACTGCTTCAGCAACAATGCGCTTAGTCACTGAAGTCAGTTCGTGTATTGCAAGAGCTAGCACTGTGTTCTCGAATCTGCGACATCTTTGGCGTCAAAAAAGCTTTCCTTCAATCTGCGGGGCGGTATTTACAAGGCTACAGTAAGGGCCGTCCTACTCTATGATAGTGAGACTTGGCCCCTCTTGTCTGCGTATATGAGGCGCCTTCAAATCTTTGATCATCGCTGCTTGCGAAGCATTGTTGGTATTGGATCGCACCGACATGTCCTTAACGGTGATGTGCGTAGGCGAGTACTGGATAGTGATAATCGGGCTAATTCCTTAGAGCAACAGAGCACTGAATAAGTGGCGTTGGCTTGGGCACGTACTACGTATGCCTGGTCACCGCTTACCTAGGGAAGTGGCCTTTGTTTCTAGTCACTTGTAGGGTGGCGCACGGGACGGGGTTGCAAAGGCTAAGCTGGCAGCGAAAATAGAATCACTGACTGCAAATCTGGGTGCTGTCGGCCTTTATCACCCTCCAGGTTAGAGATCACGTGATTAACCCTGTGTTTGTCTCGCAGTCGGAATGTCTGTTTAAGGTGTGTCTGGTGTTGCGTTATCTGTGGGGTAGTGGCTGATTGTGACACAAGACAGAAAGCCGCAAGGAAGCTGTCTCGCCGGTGCTGCCTTATCTTTACACGATAGTTAGCTGTTTGTGATGGTGTGTTGTTGACAAGGTGTAGGCGCCCTGATCCTGAGTGTTTGTTTAGGGCAAGGGTGTCCAAACTTTTTGCAATGAGACCACATTTTATGAAGTACAAATATGTCGGGCCATATTCAGTCTGACATTAAAATAATGACATAAGATAATAATAATAACTCATGTACAAAAAGTCCAAGTTTGAGTTTAATATTTATGATGAGGCCGCGGACCAGTTGAAATGTATACGCGGGCCGGACTTTGGATATCCGTGAATTAGGGCATTAAGGTTTTACGCCCGGTCTCCCTTCTCTCCCTCTTATTGTTCTTCCTTCTGCAAGTCACCGTGGTTGTGCGGCAGCGAAGCATAGCTTAAATGACTGATGTTGATGATTTATTTGATTGATTACCAGTATTCTAGCATTAGGCGTGCATATTTCTTGAACAGTATAAGTCTGGCATCTGTTGATTTGAACATCGAATTTTTCCTTAACCTTTAACACTAGAAAGACCGCTCCGCCGCCTTATGCGGAACCCACGAGACCGGTCAAAATGACCGTATTACTGTATTCGTTTATTCCAATTTTTCTTTTTGAATTTTTGAGTTACAAATATTAAGAACAAGATGTAAAAAGCTGAAAAATAATTGCATTAAACTTTAACTTTTTCAAAAAGTTGAGAATGATTGTACCTCATATTAGGCTTTACACATGAAAGTGGCGCTAACTCTCTCAATTTGCCCACACGAGCCGGAAACTATTTTTTCGCATGAAGAGCACGTGTTCCTTGACTTGTTGCCTCTACAGTAATCAATCTGTCACTGCTGACGTCTACTTGTCTCATGTCTTTCCGACTGGGATGAGTTGCTCTACGTATGTCCGGTTGTCACATTCCGTTTCTTATTCATAAGTCCACAGTTCTCCAGCTAGATCAATCAGATACGACTGGCACGATAATCTATTTCCAAAGAAAATATCATACATTATCCAGAAATTAATGGCCGCCAAATCCGACACGTTGAAGAATACTTGAACTTACTTACTTAGTGCCAAGAGTAAGCGTCTTACCAAAGAGGGTGTTATTGAATGTCACAGCGGTATGGAATAACATGTCCCTTCTTTACGTAGAAGATAATTTCTCATGTAGATCTTCACGCTTCAAGGGCGTCTAAGCTAGGATGTGCACCGCAATGCCTGTTGGTTTGCAGGGTCTAACATGTACGCAACTCTAACATCGTCGATAACCATTGTCAACTGCCATCCTGACATCATTGTTGCGCATGGGGAATAGTAAAGGACGCAGAGCACTATCCTGTATTACGCCACTTGTTACGGGTCTGCTTGATCTTGTTTATTTAACGCGGTTTAATGAGCTTAGCAACCCGGTCTGACCGCACTGGCGCAGATTATCTAACCCTTGTATGATTCTGACTCATTCTATTTATTTAATTCCCAAAGGAACAGCGTTTACTTAAGTCATAAAATCGCTGGGATCGCAGCTAATCTCTTCTCACAAGACTTTAATGCATGTTGTCTGACTGCCGTTCAGACTTTTCCTGCTCTTTTTTCCCACATATTTACTTACCTCTATTTTCACCCAGCGCATATTCATTCGAACTGGACTAACTTGTCGTATTCAGTGTGCTTTCATAGAATTACTCTCCATAGATCACAACTCCTGTAACAGACTGTCTTTCCGTGCTTCTTGCTCACACTCACGCGTGCGACTTTTTCACTTTTAGGTACTCCCACAACTGATAACTCTCATTCAGTGTGGGACTCTTGGGGTCTCTCGAGAATCCCAATATTGTTTTACTCGACCCTTTTCATGAAATCTACAGTTCGATTTTGGCTTCCGACCACTATTGCCAGTCGCCGGCAACCAGTGACTATTTTGCTGCCTACTTTTCCAGCTATAGCCCCACATGCAGGTGAGGCTGTTCACAACAGGCAGATGATAAACGTATAGCTGCGACGTCGACTTCACGTAACCGGACACATGCAGGCGCGTGCTAACCGCTATATCCGTCGTTGAACGGGGTTAAACTCGGAGACAAATGTGGCTCAGTGCATCACACCAAAGTGGTTAAGACTGGATTGTCATGCTCTAGCCGCACTACAGCATGTTGCCATTCGGAACAAAGGAACACTACTATAACTGACACGCAATATTTTTACCTTGTATGTATGGCCATCTTTATTATCAACTTGATGTTTGGGCTAACAAAGAAACGTGACAGATTAATTGAACTAATTGGGAGGATGGCGAGCATTAGTTTTGCTCCTTTGGAATTGTACACAACACACCTTGTGTTCCAGAACCCCGTCTGAGTTCCGCCCCAAAGTCATTGCAGATATCAGTCGCCCCAACTGCTCCACGACAGTTGGCCCGATTGCTCTGGCAGCTTTCCAAACCTTAGGCGGACAACCCACATCCGGCATGCTTACTTCCAAACGGTTTCGGTAAAAAGCGCTTGAATCCGTCACTGGTACGTGGAAGGGTTGTCATCAATTATAAGATATCTCTCATTGATCTATGAAATGCCGAAAAATAGCTCATCCGGCATTTAAATTTTTCTTCCAGTCATCTTCTCTAACGGTGTTCATGAAGCATTATTTTTCTGATTTTGTTTTCTCTTGGCATTGCAATCCCTCAGTCAGAGGATCACTCCTGATACTTGTGTCAGCTCCGGATACACTTGTTATCCATTTGAAATTCTAATACTTAATTATTGCTATTTTCATCTCAGAATCCAGTATCCACATTTGTCGCTCGCACAGTATTTTTGATCGATGCCTCACTCCGCTATTGATCCATTTCGGCTTCGACGACTTTTATCGACACTGCAATGTTTGGGCGTAAATCGAACTTCCACCTTTTTCTCTGTCTCAGGCCGGTGACAAACTAGCAATGTCAAAACCAATCCGTCAGCTGCTCAATCACGTCCCAAGTACCTCGGTTCATAGAAAAGGAATGGTTCACTCGGGACATTCTGCTTCTCACCCCAAACCGTTTTTTCTGACTTTATCTGTTGTCGAGGGTTCTAACAGGACATTCCGGAACACAAGCTTAGATTTTCTAATCAATCCTGATTTTGATTGGAGTCAATATTCTGTCCATAAATCTCCGGGTTCCAAAGACTCGACCGCCCTGGAGCATTGGAAGGATTTGGTTAGCCGGCGATCTGACTACCATACCATTTGCACTGGACAGTGGTCCGTGAATTCTTCTAACTGGTGGGCTAGAAAACACCGCGATCGTTTAGAGAAGGAGCTGGTTTTACCAGAGTCTGTCAGGCAGTTGATTGAAATGCACGATGCTGCTTTAGCCAACGCGCTTGAACCATCTGACACAGAAAACAAATCTCCACCCAAGGATTCTGCGAGTACAGGTATATCTCGTTCCTTATGCGCCACGTTTTACCCACCACATTTTGACGGTCCTTATCATGCACTCATTTGATTTTATTTCTTGTTGATCAATGATGGTTTTCGTTTTCCGTCTTTTATGTAGACTCTCGGGGACTGGTCTCTTTGTGAACCAACCCTAACCGTATTCCGAGTTGTCGGCCCCAATTTTTTTTGTTGCAAGCTTCACTCACCGCATTCGCACTGAGTTTACTAGGTGGTGGCATCCTTTTTTAGTTACTTATCACTGTTATTACTAATAGTCATGCGCTGAAGAAGTTGGACGACTGGTCATCTTTAATCTCTGGTGCTTAAAGCGTATTGCTTGCATCTGTGGGTAACATTGAGTGAGAATTACTTGGGCCCGCTAGTTAGAGTTTGTCACTAAACCCTCTGGTGCATCCCTGGAGTGTTTGCTAAAGCTTAGCTACTTACGTGGGCTGTGTCATGTCTTCCGTAATCTCGTTGACTGCCTTTCTTTATGTGTGTTATATGACGTCGCTGCGCCAACTTCGATGAAAGCGTGATGTAGCAAGTCGGTGACGCAACATAAAGTTGGTCGAAATACCTGGTCAGGCTGCTATTTGGATGGGGTCCTTGGAATGGTTTACATTAGTAATTGGAGACTGCCAAACATGGTACAGTTACCCATTCAGTGGCTCTATTGTTTTCACTTTCTTGCATCCAGCTGTTAATATTTCATCCCGATTAGATTTAGCCACTTTCCCACCTCAACTTTTCGTATTCTGTTTGCGTTCTGTTTGCTTTTCTTCCAATCGCTGTTTCCGTTAATCTGGCGACGCGAGTCGTGGTAACTAGTTCCCCTGCACTTCGACCTCCGGAGCATAGTTGCTTAACTGCACTGAGCTGAGTAGTCACGAAGAGTCTGTGCTTGTCGGATGTCAGCAACAAACAAGTTATGCTAAGGTCTGGCTGCCGTCGATTAACCATATGCGCGCAAGAGGTTTCGCTAGCGATGAAACGACGGCCAAAACACGTCTAGTGCAATCTGTTTGTGTGGTGATTGCAGGTTTGTTATTCGAATCCACTTCCTTCACTCATTCTTTTACTCAATCGGGGAGAAACTCGGAAGGAAATATTCTTATAATGTACTTCAATCGGAGATCCAAACCGACTATATCCGGGACAAGGTAAAAACATAAAGGAAAACCATTTTTAGCAGTTAATCGATTATCTTCGATCGTGCATTAATTCCGAAGATTCCGGAACCTTCCATTCCTTCACGTGATCGCCGGCATACGGCGTTTTGGCAGGGAGGCTACTAATTTTATCAGTTGACCCTCGTTTTCTAGAAGCCGAAGGTTGTTGAGCCCCTTATATATTTGGCGTAGGGGTACAGCGTTTTGGCGGCGTTTTTGGCTACGTTGGCAGCGTTTTTGTTAGCACGTTTTTCTTGGTCAAGGTCGTTGGACTTTTGATTTTTCTTCGGCTGGGCAAGAATTTTTGCGAAGAAATTTTTGAGTGTTTAACTCGGAATAGCGAGAACAAGTGAAGATCCAACAGACTACGTGAGTAACTAGTGGTTCCCGTGCAGCTCATCGAATTGGTGGGTTCCTGATAGATCAGTATCTAATTCTTGCACCGATGTAGCCGCTCACTCAAAAGCCAGGCGTCACACAGCGACCAAACAGTGGTAGCGAAACCATACTGTTCTTCTGAGCAACCGTACGCATGTCACTTGGCTCGTGGTGCATTTCGCACCACCTTTCTGTAGCACATTGTATCAAAAATTTGACTAAGGGTATCTGCCGCTCCTATGTTAGTGTGGGCGTACGGACTGCATGGTTGTTTGGAAACCTACCTGTACTCACGCCCTCATACTGCAATGCTTTCATACACCAACCGATTGATCGTTTGATCTACTGCATCCAGCCAGGTGGACAAGTGGAGGAACGCCACTGCTAGTGTATCTCTTCCTTCTTCGACTTCCACCCGGTCTCCACTTTATCTAATCTCAGCAGCCTAAACCTCAGTTTCTCACCCTACTGATAGTCTGACGCACTCATATGCTCTTACAAAAGACGTCAAAGGCTAGCCATTTAATTATGCGCCTACCTTTGGATCGAAACAATGAAACGAACCGCATTGGTCGCCATGAATGTCCGTTTCCATGTCATTGACATTGCAGCGCGTATTGAATTGCAGTTGCTTAGACAAGTAGACTGCTGCCTAGCTGATTTGTTTTTGGTATCATCTATGGTAATTAAAATATTGATAATGTTGTATATTCTCGAATATACGAGACGCACTCTCTTCGGCACAATCGAGTTTTAACAAGTAACTACTAACTTAAATATTACAGGTTAGTAGGAAATATATAAATGCGTTTTTCTAAGTTCACATAGCATCATGAGTTTCACAATTTTCGCTGTGTTTTGGCGCCCTTCTACTATGGGATTATGTTGTGTTAAGGCAAGAGCTGCTTGTATGATGGGGATACAGCTGTTATATGATTAAGTGCTCTTGCTTTTGGCCATAGGCGGTTTCATACTTGGCGACATATGCACGTGAGCGCTTACTGGTTCAATGTTTTGAACTTCAAGACACAATAAACTTAACTTGTAGAGAGCAGCGATAGAAACGGAACTACATCGTATCCGTGGTACCTAATTGGAGCAGCACATTTGAGTAAAATTTGACATACCAAGACATAAGATTGCCAGCAGGGGATAAAGGTTTTTGTAGCACACTTGGTTGGCCTTTCCTTTGCAGCTCTCACGCGCGCATGAAGTCTTTAAGCTACGGGGGTCATTTTGGATCAGATATAACGGGTTTGAAGCCTGGGATGGAAACGGTTTCTGTTTTCTCTTGTTGGCCTCCGTCGGTTAGACTTTGTCGAATGAGGGCCGATTTTATCTGGGGTGCGAAGGCTGGAGGTGTGAACTTGGTTTTTCTTTCCTTGTGAGCTTGCGTGCCTTAAGGTAAGCATGTCCGAATACATATACTATAGGATTAATTGTACTCAACCTTGTCTAGTGCTTCCGTTATCCATAGCGATACTCCTCTTGAAATTTAAAGAATAATCTTTGCTTGCGTCACCAGAGATTTTCTCTTATGTACCACTGATGATTATCTCCAGGACAGTATTTTTATATGGTCGCTCTCCTCATCAATAAGTTCGAGGATTCTTTTTTGGATTTTCATGCTGCATCGTACCATTGAGTGATCCCGAATTGCTGTCAAAGTTCGCCTGCAGATTGTTGCACGACTTTGTCACCGACAATGAGAATTCGTTGTATCCGTTGCCGTAGCGTGCCGTGTGCTGTAGCTGGAGGGTGTCTCTATGTGTATGAATTATATCGAATACAGCCATCTGTTTTGTTTCAGCCTACGGATCTTATGAGCGGTTTGCAGCGTTTAGGCTGTTTGTCTCTGTGTACAACCAATTGTCTGTCTTGGAAGGCGCGTTTAATGCGTTGCAGTGATACCGTGCTACACTACTTGGTGTTGCTGAGCATCGTAAAGTGGTATTCCAGCGCTGGGCGTGTGCCTGTTTTGTGCAACACAACTCTTGCATTGGTTATAGTAAACAGTTTGCAGAACATCGCATTCGTCTTTTGATCCTATCGCTGGTGCACTGTTCATGCTGTGAAAATTCCAGGTTTTTGCACTGGCATAGTCGTGTCGTCTTTGTTACCAAATCGGGTTGGTGGTTTAAATCATATATCACACCAATAAAAGACGACGTTGTTCATTTCAACAGAGACACTCCCTTTGCAGATAGAACCTCATCTTTTTGAAGCATGGACGTTGAGTCCTGGGAATGGAAGGTGTATGCCTCATCTATATCACCGGCAAGCATTTACGGATTCATCTAGATAAGAATGTCGTTGAGGCAGTTTAGAAATGGTAGTGGTCCCAATACATTGCCATGGATGGCACTGCTTTACGTTTGCACACTTTAATCGCTTTCCTTTTTACCTGTTTGAATCGTTTTCCCTCAACTGGTCGTCTGTTTGAACTTGGATACAACTAGTCCACAGGCACATGATCTGTCAGCAACTTCTCACATCCTCTCGTCCTATCATTTGATGCACTATTCTTTCGATTACACTCATCACCTTTGGTTTTCTTGTGCACTGTGCTTCCCATCGCTTCCCACAGCCTCGCACAATGTTCCTGATGCGTTCCCGAAAGAGTCAAAAATCAGCACCGAGCCAAGTGCAAGCATCCAGTGGCTGGTGGATGTGTGTTCCACCGTCTGTAACGCTACCAGCCCTCGACAGCTGATACGAGAGATAAATTCCGTTGAAAAATTGTTGTTTTCGGACCACCGAGGAAAGGATAAAGTGTTTTTGTCCGATTTGGCATTGTTCTCTTGCCTTGATCTCAACGATAAGCCTGGATAACACTTGAACTCTTAAGCCTACCATACTGTATACTATTGTAAAGAACATTTACTACAACTACTTTCTTTATCTGCGTTAACTCACGGGGGGGGGGCAAACTAATTTCGAGCAGCAATGGTATGAAATCAACCTGCGAACTCTGCCTGATGTTGGCTGTAAGCTGAAATCTACAGCTGCGCTGCAACCGCTTTTGTTTGTGATTTATGACCGTATCGTCTCTACATCCTCAATTCAGTTTCATCATGTTTTTAAACTCGGGAGGGCTGTATTCGATCCCTGCAATATCGTGCCCCTGCCATGAATACGTACGTATCATCAGCACAGCTTATCCTGCGTCAGAAAACATGTGCATCTGTCTCGTACCGACACGCAACAACTGTGGGGCGTGTATTAAAGTGGCAACTTTGACCAACTGGATCACGTACATAATTTCTTTGGCCTTGACCCCTTTCCTGTTCAATTTCGCTATTGACGAAGTCATGGAGATTGCGTTTACAGGACAACGACTTAGAATGTGTGGAGCTACTCCCAGGAGAACGACTTCTTGACTTGGAGTAGGCAGACGATATTGCCCTCATCTGTGACAGCTTCCAGACGTGCGAAGCTGCACTAGACAGCTTAGCACTGGCTATCAGCCGATTCGGACTTCGCTTTGCACCATCGAAATGCAAAGCTTTCCTCCAAGATTGGCAGGGATCGCCTTCAGCGCTGACCCTTGGTTGGGATCAGCTAGAAGTCGTTCAGAAATTCAATTACCTGGGAAGTTGTATCAGCGCCCTTGGGATTGAAGATGAGATCACGAACCGCATATCAAAAGCTCGGGGTGCTTTTGCCAGTCTTCGCCATCTATGGCGGCGGAGCGACATCACTCTCGCCCTGAAGGGTAGAGTGTACAATGCAGCGGTTCGTTCGACCTTACTGTACGGTTGCGAAACGTGGCCCTTTAGATCAGCAGACATCAAGAGACTAGTTACCTTCAACCACCGGTGCCTTAACAATTTAGCTCACATCTGGTGGGAACACCGCGTGAGCAACGTGCGTGTTCGACGCCTTGTTTACGGCACAGGAAAAGGAAATGAACCGCTCAGCACCGTCATTTCAGGCACCAGGCTCCGATTTCTTGGCCACCAGTTACGCATACCAGCCTACCGACTCCCGCGACGTGCGTTGTTTGCGCGCCCGGAGATGTGGATGGAAGAAGAGGAGAGGTGGCCAAGCGATGACTTGGTCGAGAGGAATGAAGGCCCTCACTTCGGAGCTGGCCTCGGTTGGAGCGTCTCGGCTCCCTGGTTGGGGTCCGAAAGATGATGAACACGTTTGGCTAGATACTCTTGCTAACATGGCTAGGAGCCGATCTCGGTGGCGTTCCTACTGTGAGTTTGTTTGTCCACCCCCATCCATTTTAGCCTCCCCCTCCAACCACGATCTCAGTTCGTAGCATAATTTAATTTTACATAATTTTTGGTTACCCAGTAGCCGGCTGGTAGCTTACCGGAACGATGCCTATCCGTTGCTGGTAGCTCAGCTGGCATGCAACTGTTGCATTTATTTTATTTTTTCTTTTATGTATTGCAGCACAGTAGCTGAGGTGTTTCCCACCTCTAGCTAACGTGTATAATGATGATGATGAGACCCCAGATATAATCGTCACGTTTTTTGTAGGTTGCGTCGCCCACCGAAAGTTTATTCACGAATAGATATTGACCATATGTTGTTTAGTTGCAGTAGAACACTAGTGGGGACTCGTCGGATTACTTTAGCACTGTCTACTCCGAGGAAGGCTCATCATCATCACCAACACGTTAGCTGATGGTGAGAAGCGCACCTCAGCTATTGTGCCGCGATATAAAAATAGGATGTTAAGCATTACAACATACAAAAACTTTGTAAAAAAAACTTATAATCTCAAGTATCATGTACGGAGTGTGGGATCATGATTGGCGAGGGAATAATGCTGGAGGAGGAGAAACAAAGGAACTCCCAATACAAATGCCATTCATGTCGGCTCTTCTCCATATCAACAAGTGTATCTAACCAAACGTGTTCATCGTCCTTAGGACCCCAGCCCGGCAGTCCGGAGACTCCAACCGAAGCCGAGTTCGAACTGAGGGACTCCATTCCTTTTGACGAAGTCGTCGCTTGGCATCCCCTCTTTTTCCATCCAGACACCGGGTGCGCAAAAAATGCAAAGCGGGAGTCAGTGTACTGGCGTTCGCAACATGTGGCTAAGCCATCGGAGTGGTGGGTGATATAATAGTACAGAGTGGTTCACTCGCTCCTCCTGCATCAAATACGCGACTCCGAGCGCGTTCGTTTTTCTGCAGATGTTCCCACTAGACACGAGCTAAACTGCGAATGCAGCAACGGTCGAAAGTAGTATATCTCTCTGTCTGTCCACCTGATGGGCTAGGTTTCACAACCGTACAGGATGGATGAACGCCCGGCTGCGCTGTAAACTCAGCTCTTCAGGACCAGAGTAGTACCGCCCCGGCGCCACAGGTGGAGGAAATTGGCAAAAGGGTCTCGAGCGCTTGCTAAACGGTTCCTGACCTTGTCTCCTATTCCACACGCGTTAAGATGGTTGCCTAGATAAATCAATTTATGGACAACTTCTAACTGATCACCAGTGGTCAGCGCAGGGTGGTTTCTGTCAATTTTGGAGGACTTTGCATTTTGAGAGTGCGAAGCATTGACCAAAACAGTTGTTAGACAGTACTGCTTGGCATATTCGGGAGCCCTCACAGATTAGGGCAATGTAGTCGGCATACTCTAAGTCAACAAGTCGATCACTTAGGAGCATTTCCACACATTGTAGGTCGTGTCTAGGGAACGCGATTTCTATGGACTTCGTCAATGGCAAAGTGAAAAAGGGAAGACGATAGAGGGCAACCTTGTCTCTCATCGCTGTAGATGTTAAATGCCGGCGACAGTTTGTCATCAACCCTCACTTTGCCAGAACTATGCACTTACTGCGCTCTTTCAATGCTTACATATTTATTAGGTGCACTGTTCCTCAGCACACAGTTCTAACGGGCACATCGATCCACGGAAACGAATGTATTGTTGATGTCGATGAAAACGACTATGGTGGGTCACAAGTAACTATGGCGGTGTTCGAACAACTGACGTAAAATAAAACCCATGTGAATGCAGCCCTGAGTTCGACGAAACCCGAGTGGCTCCTCGCGAATCTGGCTTCCGTGGGTGCCAGCCAGTCTCTAGAAAACGACAGACTCAAGCGCTGAAGACTACACTGAATCTTCTATATATGCCACATTCCGAACGGCAGCCAACCTTGAAAAATAGGATTATAACGGAGCGAAGAGTTAAGAAGGATAGATGGCCTGCGTTGACTCGGTCAATGCTTGTTTATCAGTACTTGTGCTCCTGCGGTGCACGGTACGTGGGTCTTACTACGAGACGCCTATCTCATAGGATTCGCGAGCACATCCCGAAGTGGTTTTACAGAGGCAAAGCGAGGTATCCTAATAGCTCCATCATGTCGCACCTCCTCGAGTACGGGCACGCAGGCTCTGAAAAGGATTGCAGAATTGTCTATTCCATTCCGGAGAGATTCTCGCGCGGATTCCGTAAACATCTATCCGTTGCTGAGTCTGTATTCGCCACTTCAAGCCGGAGCTGTGCGTACGGAAGCAATTCGTACGCTAGTTTTACCATGGCCCACATCTATCGGTACATGATTATTCGTTTTGCTTTTTGCCTCTGTTAACCTCTCATTGATCGCGGAAATAAGTTACCCTATTGCCTTTGCATTGCACTTAATCTACTATCTTCAGTGACAACGTTATTCATCAATATTCAATATTTATCCCAACTGCACACTTACCATGTGACCCGCACTATGTGAATGTCTGAGTCTGATTAGATATACCGAAAAGAACTCTTAACTCAGCACTGTGAATCATGTTGTAAATCTTTGTGTAAATTTCGTGTGTAAAATTTTTGGATTGCTAAAGTCAAGCATTTCCTGTGATTCATGCCTGATTCTGATTGAGTACTTGAAGTTCAGTGCTCGGTAAGAATAGTTTGTATTGTACTGGAAAACACGCTCTTTCAGTGTTTTGTTACATTGGATTTTACGGTTGTTTTAACCTTCGAAACCTCCACTTGTTTTACTGACTGCACGTCCGTTGACACAAACCGTTTCGGTGTGTAACTCGCTGCACGTTTCTCGCTCTGTCTGATTCGCTTCCTAAAGGCAATTTACTTATCCAGACTAGGATCATAAATGACCGAAGAATTGGAAAAAACGTTAACCTTAAAAACACACAAGACAAAGTTAAGCACCAAACGGTGGCTCGAAGAGAAGCTGAATCCGATCTCGCGGAAGATACCAACTAAGGAAGACAATGCTTGGATCACAAACATATCCAAAAGAAGAGTAATGGACGCGGAAAAAGCAGTCATTGTCCGAGGTATGCAACTCAATGTTAAGGGCTTCCTCGTTGCACTTGAATCAATGTTACTATCATACAACAACTCGCTTGAAGCACAACAGAAACATCCCGACTCTCAGTCATAAAGTTGAAACCAACATATTCAACACCACTGGACGGAAAGCTCTGGAGAATCTCAGGAAAGACAAGAGCATAGTTATACTGCCGGCAAACAGAGGACGCCTTACTGTTATAATGGACAATGCAGATTACATGATGAAAGCACAACACCTACTCGGTGATACAAACACATACTAGCCGATAAACGAAGACCCGACAAAACACTTAGAAGGCAACATCAGACGCACTCTGCAAAAACTGGAACAAATGGGGAAAATCACAAAATTGGAACACAAGATGATGCGACCACAAGACTCGGTACTACCGCGGTTCTATGGCTTAGCTAAAGTACACAAAAGCGGAGTGCCGCTTCGCCCCATCGTGCTTTTACCTGGAGCACCAAATTACAGGTTTGCAAAGGAGCTCTGGAGACGGCTAAAACACCTAATCGCGGGACCGGAACACTCGATCAACTCGGCAGAACAGTTTCTTGAGAAACGTAAAACCGTAACAACTGAACGGGATGAATGGCCAACTTTGATATTACCGCCTTGTTCACCTCAA